AAAAAAAAAAAAAAGAACTTTCTAGTTCATGGAGTTTCTACTTCCATAATGAATTCTTAACAGCAATAGACATTAGTGAGATGTTGGTTCTCCAGGATTGCAGATAAGATCCTTCAGTTAAGATGAGAATTGATATGATTCTGCAGTGGGCTAACGAAAGGATGTGAAACAGGTCTGTTTTGAGTTGTCAGCGCTCTTTGTAGCATTTGGTGTTTTTATTTCTTAAGTAACGATACAGGAATCCAGTGAGTTGCATTAAAGATGTAATGGAAGGCTGGTAAGGTACTCAGTAGTAAAGTGCTTGCCTTGCATGCATGCATAAGGCCCTGGGTTCGATTCCTCGGCATCACATAAGCAGAAAAAGCCGGAAGTGGTGCTGTGGCTCAAGTGGTAGGGTGCTAGCCTTGAGCTGAAGAGCTGAGGGACAGCGCCCAGGCCGAGTTCAGGCCCCAGGACCAACCAAAAAAACAAAAACATGTACTGGTGATGTCGTTCAATGGTAGAGTCCTTTTTCAGCATGTGCAAGGTGTCCTGGATTTGATCCCCCCACTCCCCACCCCCACAATGAAAGAAGTAGGTTAAATTTGAAGCCTTTCAATGAGATGTTGAGGTTTATCACTCATATTCATCTTGACTGCATAGCAGTTGTCATCTACCAATAGAGGGCAGTGTTTGCCCTCCACATGATTCTTCCCATCTCATTTTTTTAACAGGACAACCTGCCACCTACTTGAGCCATAAAGATTCTGATCCACCAATCATCCTGATCCAATGCAGCATTAATCTAGGTTTTAAATGGGAAATAGTATATCTGGACCCATGCACAACTCTTGTATTTATAACTCTCAAATATGTAGACAGCATACCAAAACAGAAATGTATGTTTAGATTTCAGAATGCAACTGGACTCTTGGCCCTATTTTAAAAGGTAGTCTTTTGAAATTGGCCTCCAGCTATTTTTTTTTAAAAAAACACCTTGTTTCTTGCACTAGGTACACTGATATGTTGTTGCACACAACAAATAATGATACTCCTCAAGGTAGCTTGCTCCTTGATTTTCACATCTGCTTCTTCCATTACTTAACACATTTTGACAAGCTTTGTCTGTAAGTCAGCGCATGGGTGTGCCTCCTGTGTGTGCCTCCTGTTTCAGTCATAAAGCACTAGACAAATATTGTGAAATGCTGTGTTAATTCTGGAATCCGGGAGCAAGAAGGTACACCAAAGTTTCCATTCTAGTAAAGCAAATAATTGCTTTAAAATATGATAGCAGAATGTTGGAAATAGTGCCATGCCTTGATTTAGTGCTAAGCTGGCACCTAGAAGTGATTTTTGTTTAGAAACCTAACTTAAGGGGGCTGGGAAGGTGGCTCAGCATTTGCCTTGCATGCATGAGGCTGTGGGTTTGATTCCTCAGCACCACATAAGCAGGGGGGAAAAAAGCCGGAAGTAGTGTTATGGCTTAAGTGGTAGCACACTAGCCTTGAGCTGAAGAGCTGAGGGACAGCGCCCAGGCCCAGAGTTCAGGCCCCACGACCGGACCAAAAAAAATAATAATAATAACTTTAAGAGGCTAGGGCAGGCTAGGAATGTGGCTTAGTGGTAAAGTACTTGCCTAGCAGGCATGAAGCCTTGGGTTCGATTCCTCAATACCACATAAACAGAAAAAGCCAGAAAGTGACACTGTAGCTCAGGTGGTGGAGCACTAGCCTTGAACACACTGAGGCTCAGGGACAGTGCTCAGACCCTGAGTTTAAGTTCTAGGACTGGCAATAAAAAAAGAGGCTGGGGCATGGTTCAAATGCTAAAGCACCTGCTTAGCAAGCACAAGGCCCTAAGCACTATACTCCCTCACCCTCCAAGAAAACAGGTAAAGCATGGAAGAATGTATGTGTGTGGTGTATGTACACGTGTACTTCCTTGTTCACTCTAATAACAATTACTGGTAATAGTTAAGCTATTAAGTTGGACATATGCATACATGTACACACATGTATATGAATATATATACATACATATATACATGTACTTTTCTATCTTGAATATAAAGTCAACTCTGAGGTCTCCTGACTGCAAGAGATTAGGGTAGATTGGTAAACCAGGCTTTGAAGGAACAATAGGAAAGGGAACGATACAAAAATAGGTAGAAAGTCATTAATCCAGAAGAATCAGTAGCTCAACCCAGTGGATACAATACTAATTGCAGAATAATGTTATGTTAGCAGGGAGGCAGTGGCTCTGGAGGCTAAGATCTAAGGATAATGGCAGATAAGTCATGAGAGTCTTATCTCCAATAAAGCATCAAAATTGCCATAAGTGGAGCTGTGTCTCAAATGGTAGAGAACTAACCTTGAGCAAGGGATAGTACCCAGGACCTGAGTTCAAGCCCCAATATTGGCACAAGGAAAAAAATTTTAAAAGGATAGTGATATTCTATAATAAAGCTATAAGCCACTAAGTGTCTTAGGAATCACTCACCTGACATTTTGTTTAGGTCTTGAAACATAATCTGTAGCCAAGGCTGTAACTTCATATCTAATGCATACTACATCTCAGTGACAAACTAGCTCCCTCCCAGTTTTGTCTCCTGCCTCTGACCTAGTTTGCCCCTATTTGTCTTTTGCTTCTCTTGATTTTTGTGAATTAACAGTTAGTTTCCATGGAGGTTAGTGCTTTTGAGGCAAATGTATTTTTTGTACATGAACTGGGTCGTCCTAAAGGTGGAGGGTTAGCGGGTTAGCCAGCTGTTCCGTTGAAAGCCACACAGTTGGCCCAAACACAAGGTAAATAGCATTTCTTGGTAAACTTGCAACAATACAGCGCTTAGATTCC